AATTTATAAAATTATAAGACATTTATTTTTACTTAGTTGTGGGTTCAGGTCTGCCTAAGTTCCTTGACCAGACTAGAAGTTTCACACACACATACTTCTGCAGGAATTCACTGGCACACCTGGGTTTGTAGCTTTGCCCTATCTGCACATGTCATCAGTCACCACTGAGCTAGTCACAGCTCACCGCATGTATGTTTTTTTCATAATCTTTGCAAAGGTATGTATAGAGTTACACCCCTTCAAACGTTGTACAAAAGGAGACCACAAGAGCAAAGCTTTTAAAGTACCAGGGCACAATATTTGCAGTTAGCCATCTGTGTGGAGAGTTTTAGGCAGCCTTCTATGAGGAAGGCTCAGATTTTAAAAGGTATTAAAAACTCTCTGAAAACTCCATGCCATACATTATTCTTGCCTCAGTCAGCAAAAGGGGATAGCAAGCTAACCTGCAAGCCTTATGCTGCTGAATTTAACCAATTATTCTACTTGGACTGTAACCACTGTTTCCTGTTTTAAACTGATAAAAAACACCTTTCCCAAGTTCTGGCCATCTTTTAACCTGCAAGCAATCAATGCAGTCACAATCTAGAAATCTACCAATAGGTGCCAGGACCAAGCTGTTTTGCTAGGATACTGCCAACAAGAGATACTGAACTGGGTCACTTATAAATATAACTTTTTCACCCTTGCTTAGTTTTGCCAGTGTTTGTCACAACTAGGAAATAACTTTTATGCTGCTTAACTTGGCAGACAATAAGTAGCACAGTGGCTGATGCTTTTTCAGTAGGCTTTAGGCATGTGCAAGTCAATCAGTGCTTGGATGAAGGAAACCCAAGTTTCATATATGTACAAATCTATATGCTACCATTAATATTCCATGAAGTTTGCATGAAGCTCAAAATACAAGTAACTGCAGTGAGCTTATGGAAATTGGTGTTAAATTATTAATTTTGATGTTTTATCGAAAATATCTGACATGTCTCCTCAGCCCTTAATCGAAGAACCTAGCATACTCTCTCTTAAGTCAGTGGCACCTGCCACTGATTTGAATGACAGAAGTACTAGGCCATCGGTTTTGAAGAATGATATACTGCTGTTATGCAATAAGCAGATGTTTGAATCAGCCAGTAATGCAAAATCCTAGTTTTTGCTGAGTTTTTTGGGGGGAATAATGTGCTTCTGAGGAGCTGCAAAAATATTCAAATGAATCATCTGGACACAAGTTCACGAGTCTAGGGATTCAGTATGGCGTTAGCAGAAATGCTGCTATTACTAGCAAAAAGGTAGGGTAGGTCACTCCATTCTGTTGAGAAAAAATATTGTCTTATCCTGTTAAATTCCACTACCTAAAGGTGAGCAAGTGTAGAATAGCTTGGACTCAGACAACATCAATAAAACCTGTAACTATTACTAA